ACTGAATGTGGTTAGGAGTGCAATTTTACACATTTAGTTCAAAAAACCTAATCAATTAGTTCCATCAATTGGAATTAATATCAATTAACTAGCTCCAATCCATACATATCAATTAAAATATTCACTGAGCATTTAGTATGGGACAACAGAGAAATGTACATATTGTCCCACTTTCAGGGAGTTTGCAGTTTCAAAGGGTTAGAAAAACCATGGCCCATCTATAAAAACAATGACAAGAGGTATAGTGTCCAGAAAGATTGCTTGATTTTGGCTCTTCAACCCCCCTAAGCCATGTTGTTCATACTTTTCATGCTCCTGTGATCCTTAATATCTTTTTCTGTAATCATACTCCTCACAGTAAGTTGTAATTATTTGTTTATATGATTCAAAGACCATGGGAAGAAAATATTAATGCATTCACTTGTGTAACACACTTTCCACCTTATGTGTTTTGTAACCCTCATGCTATACTAGTTCAGTAGTACAAGTTTATAATACAGTATAGCAGATTAAAGTTGGCTTCAAATTTTTTTGCAGCTCCTTCCAGTGAGAGGTGGGATTCTTTGTCACCTACCCTTAAATCTGTGCTGGCTCTGATCAATAGAAAACAGTAAAAGTGATGCTATGTCAGTGTCTGTGCCTACTCATCACCAGGAGACTGGCAGTGTTCACTTTATCTTTTAGAGAATACTCACTCATGAAATCCTGAGTTGCTATGAAAGAAGCATCCCCAGTTAGGGACACCATGTGAGAAGGCTCTGAGGTCTCAGGGGCAGAGAGATCTCATAGGCTAAGAGAAAGGCTCAGCTGAACCCAACATTTTAGCTGTCTGCTCCAAGGCACCAGGCATGTGAGAGAAGTGGTCTCGAACCTTTCAGACCAGTGTGACAGAGCCATTAGGTAGTACCCTGAGAAACCCCATCCAAGGTGTAGACGACTCACACAACTGAGCTGTATCTTAATTCAGGACTAACAAAATTATTGTTGTTTTAAGGCAGTAAATTTTGCAGTAGTTGGATGTGTATCAGCAGATAACCAGAAAATAGAGGGTGTATCTTTTTTTTTTTTTTCAAACCAAAGGGGAAGTGTGATCAAAAGTGCTTGGTGAGTATTGAATTTCAAGTGATGGAATTAATGTAGTCAACAAATTTGAAAATGGGTTGGTGGTTCTTAATTTTCTCTGTGCTTTTTAATAAAGATAAAGGTAGGTGGATAATAAGCTATTAATCCATCGTAGGACTGTTAGGTCTACAATTTCTGACACTGTTGTTTAACATTTTTCCTTTTCAACTTTTAAATGCCTAGGTGTTTTATAGATATCATGAAAAACTATTAAAATTATTTCAAGGTCACTGACTCTAATCTATAATGCACGATTCCCAGGTTTCTATTTCCTAACAAGCAGGCCTAATAAATGGAAAGAGGAGAGGCTTTGAAGTCAGGTAGATCTAGGTGTCAGCTTTACTGCCTCCAGCCTGCATGGTTTAATTAAGTCACTTATCCCTCTGAGTCTCAGTTTCCTCCTCTGAAATAGGATAATTCTTACCGTGAAGAATTGCTGTGAGGCTTAGGTATGTGGAAAATAAATTCTATATTCTATTAATATCTTGCTTTATGATATTTTATTGACATGTTAAGGTTTTTAGAGTAGAGGGTTTAAATTTAGCAAATAATAGGATGCAACTAATATAAAAGCATGGGTTATTACTAATTAGCTATATATATATTTTTGATAATTTAGTCTGAACGTATTTGAAACAGTCATGAATATTTTTTAAACCAGGCATCTGTTTCAAGTGGGACTGAGGTAGCAGAGTTAATTAGTTTAGAAGGCTTCCTGTCTTGGACCAACTTAGGCCACTTGCTCAGGCTGAGTTATAATTTTTGCCAGACAAATGGTTTAAACAGCTTTTAAAAAATTATGTTTCTGTAAGTGCTTCCTAGGCAAGATTATTGTCTATCAAATATTCCATACCTGAGATCATTAAATATGTGGTCATACTTTTGAGGGCTGCTCACTGTATTTTTGGAGGATGAGGATGAATTTATTTTTCTGTGTTTATTTCAGCCAGGTAACAACATATAAAACCATCTATTTATTAGAGGCATATTTTGAAATTTAGATCAATCTGTTGAATACTGATATGAGGAAAGACTAAAAACGTTGCCCACACAAGGTCATTGTCAATAAAATCTATGCAAGATTATTATTACTTTTGTAAGAAAAAAAATTCACCACCATAACCATTTTAAGTATGTAGTACAGTAATGTTAACTGTATGCACATTACTATTCACTGGATCACCAGAACTTTTCCATCTTGCAGAACTGAAACTGTTCCTGCTACACAGAACTTTCTCTCTTCCCCTGCTCTCAATCTCCGGAAACCATCAATTTTTTTTTCTAAATGAGCTTGTTTTTTACCTAAGCCTTCACCCACTATTTATTTCCTCTTGCCTCTAGATGATACATATCTGTATTTACCTGGTCCCCAACTCACATCTCCACCATTTGCCTTCAGCTCCTACATGGACTTTCTCACTCATGTCACATGGCTTTGTGCAGTTACATGCTTTGCATAGTCTGATCATTTTGTTTTGCAGAGCAGTATGTTCCACGCTGCCTACCACTTTGCTTTTGGTAGCTATCTGCTCCAGAGTTTCAGAATATTTTCCCAGGTTACCTTTGAAATCTTTCCATTTGGAGCTATGGGCTACAAGCCACCTTTAGGTGTAATCTGAAGCCATTTCTTACAGCCACTCATGGATAGATAAATGGGCCTCCCCAGCAGTTAGAAGTAGTTAAGTCTAGCGGAAGGTTAAGCATATGGAGTCCTGTCTGACTACATGCTTGATGGAGAATAATATGGTCTCAGCAGCATTTCAGGGTTTTCAGTCATTTAAAATAGATGCTAGTTTGATTGGTAGTCAATCTCCATCAAGCGTATTCAGAAAACCTTGAATCATTCAATTCAGCAGACCTCTGCTTATTATCATTCAATTCAACAAACCACTGCTCATGTGGCACTCATGATAGCAATTTGAATGATGAGAGAGCTGTAGAATGGTTTTGCTCCTATTAAAGAACATTTCCTTTGAATTTTGAAGGTTGATGAACTTGGCCAAAATCATGCAGGGGTAGGTCAGGTGCCTGTGGTCATGTTGCTGGTAATTTATGTCCCATCTTTATTTTATAGAGTTTTATGCTTCTTCTATGACTCCTCATATTTCATGAAACAGAGAATATTTACAAGAAGGTCTTTTTATAAAAGGATTTAAAAAAGAGCTTATAGGGAGTTATTTTTCTAGACAGTAGAGATAAGACTGTGCCTTGGACCTTAGTCTCTTGAGCCATTTGACCTTGGGAGTCAACATTAGGTCTAATCAAAATGCAGATTAAAATTGGCACTAATCAATCATATAAACCAACTGTTAGTATTTATTGGCTATCTAATTTAATGTTTTTTCAAACCACATTGCCTAAATAATAATTGGGGAAGAACTCTGAAAGTGCATCGTTCTCTCATGTGCTTATTCGTTGATCCATCAGGTCTAAGAATCCCCGTTAGAATTTTTCTTTTTGGAATCGGGGATCGAACTCAGGACCTTGCACTTGTGAGGCAGGTGGCGGAACCACTGTGTTAAATCCCCGGCCCCTCCCTTTAAAATTTAAAAAATTTATTATTTTCTGTGGTGAAATATACGTAGCCTAAAGTTACAATCTTCTACACAATTTTTTAAGTGTACAGTTCAAGGAAATACATTCACATTGTTGTGCAGCCGTCACTACTCTCTGTCACCAGAATTTAATATGCTTTTAAAACAACACCCTGGGTGACAGTGAGGCACAGACTTCCTACCTTATTTCTTGAAACACTGATATAGTGAGAGCTTACAGCTTTACTAAATACACAAGGAAAATAATACATGTGAAACATTAGTCCAGGATTTATGCAGCTCACTATTGATATAGGACCAATGAGGAGTACATATGGAATAATTTGGAAGTACAAAAATAAGTGATAGATACAAGTAGAACTATCATTTTACCTACATACACACTTGTATGGACAAGGGGTGCTAGAAAGAGAGAGACAAGTAGAAAAATAATAAAAGCCATGGAGGGATGGGTCTTGAACTTGGCTGGATAGAAGTATACAATATTGCTATGTATAAAGGCAATGATGGTAGGGTTTCAGGCCAAGGAAAAACTATGACCACTTAAGAACTACAAATCCATTTCCTCGAAGATTGTATGTTAGTTGATACGAGTCACAGTTTATGCTTATGTCAAATGTATTTCCCACATGGAAGTAAGGAATAAATTAAATTCCACCAGGTTTTTAGAAGGGAGCAAGTATGTAAATATTTGGTCACATGGTTGCTGCAAAAAGTCATAGATTGTTTCATTTAACAAATAACCATGTGAAAGTTACTAGTTTGCTAAGTGTTTTTCCTTGCAGCTGAAACATTAAACAGAATTTCTTCTGTAAGGGCTCAAGTAAGTACACCTGGTGTTCTCGACGTCCTAGGCCATACTTTATAGTTTCAAAGTTCAGACTTCGTCCAGGGTGGGTAAGGGTCTCAAGTAGTTTTCTTAGTCTTCCCCTTATCTTTCTTTCTGCCTTCTTCCTGCATCACCTCCAGGGACAGAGCCTTCTGAAAAAAACAATAGCATGGATCCCATTGCTTTTCCCTCTATTAGTTTAGGACTCATATTTTAGATTTTTGTTAATATTATCTCCTTGCACTTTTCTGGGTTTTTGTAGTTTATAGCTTTTGTGGTTAAAAATCAATATACTATTGAGAAAGTACAGAATCACAGAACTGAGGGTACTGCTATGGTTTGGATGTGCCCCCTCTAAAATTCAGGTTTTAGCAATGTGATTGTATTAACAGGTGGGGGCTTTAAGGGTGATTAGGCCACAAGGGCTCCTCCCTGGTGAAAGAGATTAAGGGTTTTATAAAAAAGGCTTCATGCAGCACGGGGCTCCTTTGCCCTTCCACCATTGGGCTCGTGAGGATACAGTAGTCCTCCTCTGGACGCTGCCTCAACAGGCCCCATCTTGGAAGCAGAAAGAGCAGCTCTCACTGGACTCCGGACCTGTTGGAAAACTCGATGTTGTATTTCTCATTCTCCAGAATTGTGAGAACTGCATTTCTGTTCTTTATAAATTACTCAGCCTCAGGTAGTCTTTTATAGTGTCACAAATGAGACACTAGTGAGACAATACAACTAAATGCAATGGGTCCTGGAGCAGAAAAGAGACATCAGTGGAAAAATGGGTAAAATCCTGATTAGATGTTTAGTTCAGTTGGTCATAAGGTGCCAATGTTAATTTTTTAGTTTTGACAAATTTACCATGGCTCTATGAGATGTTAATGGTAGGGGAAGTAGAATGAAAGGGATTCATAAACTGTGCTGTCTTTGCAACTTTTCTATAAATCTAAAATTATTTCCCAATAAGTTTACTTAAATCATTTTGCTGTTGTTTTGGTTGGGTTCCAGGAAGGGAGTAAAATTAGATCCATGTGTGTAATTTGTTGTCATAGCCCAGAATTTAATGTTCAGATATTAACCTCCCTTGTAAGATGAAAGTTAAATCTGTTCAAGTTCACCATTTCATTCTTTTACCTCTGTGTGTCAAATATTAAAGGTTTTGATGTGGGTCTTAACTGTCTCATTCAGTTCGTTGGAGATGGTTGGGTAGAATTAGGGTTCTTCTCATACTTATAGCTAGAAATAAGTGTAATTCCTTCAAGGTATTAACATGTAATAATATATGCTATTTTTAAAAAATTGACTTTTAAAGTGTATAAAATAGTAATAAGACACAGAAAGTTCTTATATTAACCAGGCACAAAATTTAGAAAATAAGGCTACATTGTTTCCTAAACCCTGGTTGTATTATTGCCAAAAATTAGTTTCAGCCTTATCACTATGCTGATCAATGATCGATTTATTTAAATTCAACTGTGACAAATTTCCTCATAATTCTGGCCCTATGTTATAGGAAAAGCCTACTTAGGCATCTGACTTCCTATTCCAACATGATGTGTGGAGCATTTTTCCTTCCTGCAAAGTGGAGATTTGCAGTGTTGACTCATAATCACTTGAGATTATGTGACAGACTTCTTTCTCATCCAGCAAATTGAAACTTCTTAACTTTTATTTCCCCTTGCGTCTCTTCTTCTAGTGCTAAACCATGTGTAGGGTCTGACGGTGATGAGGAATTTCTCTTGTGGGCAGGTAAAGTATCTTCCGTTCTGCATATAGAAATTGCCTAAGTAACTGGCCTCCGAAGGAGCTTCTTACATGTAATCAGACCAGATGGAGAGCACATCATGGGAAGTAACTTGATCTTGTAGCCTAACCCTATGAGTTGTAGGTTACCCCTGAAATTTTGGGTTGGATAATTTTTGTTGTCACTGCAGGATGTTTCTTAGCATTACTGATCTCTATCCTCTAGATGCCAGTAGGACCCTCCCACCCTAGCCGTGAAAACCTTACGTGTCTCCAGACATTGCCAAATATCTCTAGGGTGGCAAAATCATCATTGGCTGAGGACCACTGCTGTCACTGGTTTTTTTTTTTTGGTACTGGGGATCGAACTCAGGATATTGTGCTTGCGAGGCAGGGGGTGGAACCACTGAGCTAAATCCCTGGCCCAGCTGTCTGTTTTAAAAGTGGATAAATTGTTCTGCCATCTAGCTCTGGAAATATCTACTCTCATAGCAAACAACCTGCAGTGCCAGGCCAAGTTCTGACTGTTGTTTTATGTGCAGTCTCAGTGGTTTCCAGCTCTGGCTTCCTAGCCATAGTCATTCCTCTGTAAACATTCCTCTGCAAAAATGTATCTTGAAGCTTAAAACTTGAAGTGTCTTGGCTAGGTCACAGGCCACAGCAGTTAAAGATGATTATGATAGTTACCTAACAGCTGGCTTTGTGTAGCTCTATTTGTCTGTAGAGATGCTTGAGAATTTGGTACTGATTCTTGGGCGAAATAAGGACTAATGAGCTGGTTAGTTAGCATGCACCAGTGCTAGTTTGTTTGCATTGTTTAGAAACATGTAAGTTGATGGCTTACACCTGACTGAACTTCAACAGCCTGGCTGGGATCCATGACTAATGAGGCACAAAATACCCCTGGAAACTTTTGCCCTAGTTCTTCCAATACCTGCCTAATCCCTTGATGATTCATAATCTGGAGATGAAGTGGGTTCTATGACTGAAATGAATTTGGGGGAGCTATACCTGGAAGTCTCAAGCCTGTGGAGATTGTGCTTTCTCTATGTGCTTTTCCTCAGTAAAGTCTTAAATACATTCTGCGTGGTCTTAAGTAATCTTTGCAAAGCCACTTGCGCAACAGTTAATACTTAGACAGCTTATTGTGAGTGTACCACACCATCAAGGTGGACTCTCAAGTCCATAGGCCACTAGAAACCCTTTCAGTATTCTGTTTCCTCACATTCTTCAACACGTTCTTTGTTCCTTCATATTCTTCAAACATATTCTTCTTAAAGATAACATTGAGATATAATTCACAAGTCACAAATGTGTATACTTTCTCTGTGTTTGAATACAGGACCCACACATACTAGGCAAGCATTCTACCACTCAGTTGCATTGTCAACCCTTTTTATTTTGAGGCAGGGCCTTCCTGAGTTGTCCAGGCTGGCTGTGAACTTGCAGTCCCCCTACCTCAGCCTCCCGCACAGTGAGCTTACAGGCATGCATTGCCGTAGCTAGCTAAATGCATAAACTCTACAACTCAGTGATTTTTGGTATCATAAGGTTGTGCAATGATTACCACTGTATTTTCAGAACATGTATCACCTCTCAACAAATTCTGTACCCATTAGCAATTATTTATTGTCCTCTCCAGCCTCTGGCATCAACATTCTCTCACTATGGATATGTATATTCTGAACTTAGTGTATTTGGGCCACCGTAACAAAAGTAGTGTAGTCTGAGTGGCTTAAACAACAGAAATGTGCTTTTGACAGGTTCAAGGCAGAGAAGTCCAAGATCGAGGTGCTTGCACGTCTGGTATGTAGAAGGGCTCACCTTTTGCTTTCCAGATTACTGTCTTATTGTACAGTGGATCTTCGAGTTACAACCAGCCTGACATATGAAAAACTTGGATTAAAACTGGAATTTTAGTTTTAACTTACTAACCAAGTCTCGAGTTACAACCTGAGGGCCAGCCGCTTGTGCTTCCAGATGGTCTCAGATACAGATTTAATCCTTAAAGAATTCTGGAAGGAACATTATAACACCTTTCCTGTGTGGGGTTGAGAAATCCTAGGCCAATGTCTAAGGACACTGAGATCTTCCTGTGTACAGGAGAGAGATTTTGAAAGCTGTGCAGAGGAGCCTAAACCTAAAATTGACCAACATGTTACAACCAGGCCTAGAGAAAAAATTGAGTTTGTAAGTCAAAGCTCAACTGTATTTTACATGACAGCCAAGAACACGAAAACAAATTTTCTGATGTCTTATAAGAACATTAATTCTTTAACTCTTGCATTGGAGGATTGATTTTAACATAGAATTTTGGAAGGGCACAACAATTCAATTCATAGCACATTATAAAAATTGAATCACACAATAGAGGCTTTTGTGACTAGCTTCTTTTGTTTGGCATACTGCTTTTAAGATTCATTTATTTGTAATATCTGTCAGTACTTTTATGGCTGAATACCATTCCATTGTATGAATATACCACATTTTAAAAAACTTAGTTGATCATTGGGATATTTTCACTTTTTGGCTATTATGAACAATTCTGCAATGAACATTTGGCGTCAAGTTTTTGGGTATGTTTCATTTTGTATAAGTGGAATTGCTAGGTCATGTGTAACTCTGTCTAACCTCTTAAAGACATGCCAGACTTCCCCCAGAGTAGCTGCTCATTTTACATTCTTACAGTGTATGAGGGTTCAAATTACTTTGCATCTTCAACACTTGTTACTGTCTTTTTCACTAAAGGCACCTTATAGGGTATGAAGTGGTATCTCTTTGTGGCTTTGATTTGCATTTCCTTAGTGATTAATGAAGTTGAATATCTTTTTTTGTACCCATTGAGCATTTATATATCTGATTTGAAGAAACATTTACAATTTTAGCCTATTATTGTGTTGTCTTTTCCATCACTCAGCTGTTAGACATTTTTATATACCTTTTATATGTAAACCTTTTACTAGAAATGAGATTTTCTCCCATTCTGTCTTGCCTTTTCACTTTCTTGAGGGTATATTTTGAAGCACAAAATTTATAAATTAAATATAATATAATATAATTAATTA